TCCGATCTGTATTTAAATAGAGTCAATTATAATTTTAAAATTATTGCTTTCACAGAAACTTGGTTAAAGCCCAACATTTTTGATAATGAAATATTCTATAGCGAATTTGAAATCTTTAGATTTGACCGGCTGAACAAGAAAGGAGGAGGTGTCTTGTTTGCTGTTCATTCTTCAATTCCATCTGAAGAAGTCGATGTTTCGCATGCAGACTTCATAGGATTTAAGTGCATTCGTAATTGCGCTAATAGTGGCTATATCTACTTAACTTTATCTTATATACCCCCTCACTCGGATATATCTGTATATATGCAGCATGCTTCATTAATAAATATTAATCATTAATAACTATTAGTACTCACTTATGTTTTAACGAGTTCTTAGATAAAATGTCGGAGTTGGGTCTTAACCAAATTAATTTAATTTCGAACGAGTTTGGTAAGTTCTTAGATCTAGTCTATGTTGATAACGCTTCAATGTCCTCTGTTGTCCGATGTGATCCTTTGGTTCGGCCAGAGGACTCGTATCATCCTGCTTTGGAAAATAACATCGAAACCATAGCCAACTTTGCTCATAATAATACACAAGACCTTTGTTTTCGGTTCAACTTTGCGAGAGCTAATTTTAAGAAAATTAATTACGAACTTTCTAAAGTTACTTGCCAGATTACAATGGCAATATTGAATTTAGTGCTTCCCACTTCAATGAAACTATTTTAAACTTGTTTGAAAAATATGTTCCGAAGTGTGTTGTTACTCATAAAATGAGTTCTAATTTATTTATGGTTTTTGAAAGAATTATGTAAAATAAAAAATAGAAAATCTCGTGCTTTTAAACTTAAAAAAAAAAAACTGGTTTAGATGCTGACTATTCAAAATATTCTAAATTGCGCCGACAATTTGGTGAACTTAAATAAAGTAAAAAATAATAGTATACGTAATCCAAAATAGTTCTATGGTTTTGTCAACTCCAAACGCAGGATTTCTAATTTTCCGTCCGCTATGAAATATAAGTCTAGTATGTCCAGTGACAATCACACCATTTCTAATATGTTCGCTGAATTCTTTAGGTCCAATTACTCTCCAAAATCTCCAAAAAATGTTCCGCATCAGCACAAGTTATGTCCGATTTCTGTCATTAATGCACCTACCATTTCCGAAGCAGACGTCTTATATCAGTTAAATATATTAGAACAATCATACACTTATGGCCCAGATATGATTCCCTTGTGCTTTCTTAATAAATGTGCCAAATATACGTATATACCAACCCCTAATAAAAATATTTAATTCATCTCCTATGCAAGGCTTATAATAAATTCAATTCTTTTGAATAAACTTGATCTTCCTGGTTTTCAACCAATATTTCTAAAATGCGTTGCTTCTTATCTTAGTAATAGAATTCAACAAGTCATATTTAACGATACTCTTTCCGACATAATCAATGTTCCTTCAGGCATTCCTCAAGGTAGCCATCTTGGTCTAATTCTGTTCTTGTTATTTATTAATGACATATCATCTGTTGTTAAGTTTTCAAAAGTTTTATTATATGCTCAAATAGCGAAAGATGTCAGTTGCAAATAGACTTAAACAACATAGTTTCTTGGTGTGCTAGAAATGACATGCCATTGAACATTAAGAAATGTAAAACGATGTGCTTTTCACGTAGATCTGTAGACCCTACTTCATACGTAATACAAAACTTTAGGTTGGAGCAAGTATGCAGTTTTGTTGACGTGGGAGTAACTATGGACCCCAAACTCAATTTTAATCTTCACACATCTTCCATGGTTTTTAAAGCTAAAGGTGCTCTTGGTTTTATTAAACGTTGGTCTAAAGAAATAGAGATCCGCTTACCACAAAAATTCTTTTTACATCTTTGGTTAGGCCTATATTAGAGTATGCTTCCGTGGTATGGAACCCTCTTTATCAAGTTCATTCTGAGAAAATAGAGTCCGTTCAAAAACAATTTTTACTTTTTGCCTTAAATCATTTGCATTTGGGATTCCAGTTTAAATCTTCCCCCTTACACTAAACGTTTAAAACTTATAAATCTCCCTACACTCGCTCGTCGTAGGGAAATGCTTGGTATAACATTTCTCGTAAAACTCATCAATGGGTCAGTCTGTAGCCCATCTCTCTTGTCTGATATTAATTTTAACATTCCCGCTCGCTCTACCAGGCAGYTTAGACCTTTACTTTTAAAATTTTCTAGAACAAATTTCGAGTTAAACCAACCATTCCGCCGCATATGTCACGATTTCAATTCTTATTCCAGCATATTTGATCTTACAGATTCACTATTTACCGTTAAAAAATTATTTTATCTACTCTTAACAAGTAATATTTAAAAATTATAAACTTTAATATAATTCTTAATTTTGACTGTTGAAATTTTTGTTTCTGTAGCTGAGCAGCTTAAGATCGCAACGCTTAAAACTCCCTTGCCTTTTATGACTCGGCTAATTCCGCTCGTTCGTTTACATATGGATCAAGCAGCTCACGACTTCCAGTCTTAGATAAAGTATCCTCTAGGTAGCCTAAGGATATCCGTTTGAAGGTCAGCTAAAGTGTGAAAGCGGAACATCCCCTCCAGAGGGTTGTGCACTGGGTTTGGGACCCGCGACGTAAAAAACGCCCCCTTTAAAGTCATGTATCTGGAATGTCCGGTCCCTTATTTGGGAAGGTGCTGCCCAGATGTTTGATGTCCTCGTTAGAGCGAAGGCTGGCATCACCGCCGTCCAAGAAATGCGATGGATAAAACAAGGACTGAGGCAAGTAGGTCCCTGTGGCATTTACTACAGTGGACATATGAAAGAGCGCAAATTCAGTCGCCGAGTACTGTCATTCACCCCGCAGAATAAACGTCTAGCCACAGTCCACATCAAAACGAAGTTCTTGGAGCGCACCTATGAGAGCTGCCCCTGCCACGATGACAGCAGAGCGGTTCGATGCCAAGCGACGCTTCAGACAAGACGGCTCTCTTCGGCGCGACAACTTCAATCTGCTCTTGGAGTAAATAATTCGAGCTACAGAACTAAGTAAGGAAGGTACCAGCTTCTATAAGAGTGTACAACTGCTGGAGTACGCCGATAACATCGATATCTCTGGCTTCAATACCCGCGCCGTTAGTTCTGCTTTCTCCATAATACATAATGAAGCGAAGCAAATGGGTGTGGTTGTGAACGAGGAAAAGACGAAAGACTCCTGTCAAACAAACAGTTGTCACACCCGCGACTAGTTATAACAGCCATAACTTCGAAGTCATGGATAATTTCATCTATCTTGGACCCAGTATCAACACTTACAGTAATGTCAGACTCGAAATCCATCGCAGAAAACCTCTTTCCAACAGGTGCTACTTCGGAGATGTATAGTCCTTTGCGCATTGGCCACGGCGAATACCGCATTCGATGGAACGATGAGCTGTATGAGATATATGACGACATATGCGGTATCTACGCCAGTAAAGAAAAAGAAGAATTGCATTGACTTTTTGCGTTACTTAAATACCCTAGAACATGCTTCCTAGCAATGTTCTGATGATAACTCACATACTGATCTACAAATTCAGTTAGGGGTTGTTAGAATAACCAAAATCATTATACATATAGTATGTAGTATGTGGGCGTAGGGAAAATTCTTTGACACAAGGATTTATTATTATCAGAAAGTGATTCTCGCCGAATTTCAATATATATCCCACTCATTGGCCGATGAAAAGTCAGCCATAGTCCGATTTTGACAATCATTTGTCATAAGATGGCTCACATTAAAGACACTATTTAATCCAAGTTTTATCAGGATATATTCATTGGTATAGAATCCATTGAAATTTGAAATTGTGTTATACATATGTATGTGATTATGATCGATTTCGCCCATTTTCATATCGTAAATAGGAATGTCAGAAGAATTTTACGAATTTGTTTGAAGGTAGTGAATTAGGTGCGCCGTGGCCCACGCGCAAAGGAGAACCTTTCTCTAGAAAACACACTACATCGACTCATCAGATGTTGTCTTGTTTGGTTTTTGTTCGTCGAGAAAGGACTTTACTTCTCAATTGCCTACTTAGTCCGAAGTAGCACCTGTTGGAAAGAGTTATTCTGCGGTCCGTTCCCACGACAGGGTCTACGCAACCGGAACTGTTAATTCCGAAGGACTGTCAACTCGGCAGAATTCTGCCGCTACAACAAAAACAACAACAACAGTTACTCTGCGATGTATTTCGAGTCTTTCCTTTTAGAGTATTCATTTACTACGAATTCCATTCAAAATACATACATACACATCTAAACAAGAAAGTCTTGCAAACGGAAAAACATATTTTCCGTAACGATTCAAAAAAATATTCGTAAAGAACACGTAGTCTAATAACACATTTGTGTCACTTTGTTTGTCCGCGATGGGCTATGGGCTTCTAAACTACTGAACCGATTTTAGTAAAATTTAGCAAACTTTGTCTGGTTTGAACCAGCTTAGAAAATAGAATAGTAAAAACAATTCATAAATAAAAAATACTGTAAAAGATCTATTAATTGGACGCTCTATTAAGCGGACAACTTTATTAACTGCAGAGAAAGAACCAGACATTGAGAACAGCCTTAAATTCGTTCTTTTTTCCAATGAAATTTATTTCTATGAACATATTCCCCTGGATTCTTATACCGACAAAAACGTTTTCCCCTTTTTTCGTAAATAAAACTTTCACTGTATTGAATAGTTTATTATATGAATAATAGTACAAAATTTATACCACAGCAACGCGAGGCCGGAGCCATTAGTCTGATATATAATTCAATGAAAAATTACGTTTATTTTGAATTTTTCCTTCTGGATGTTACAAATTTCGTGGCTAACTTAATATACCCGGTTCAGGGTATAATAATAATATTTTAAATCAGAAATAAATGTAAAATATTTTCACCTAACTGATTGACCTACCTATATATGTTTGTTTTGCGAAATTCACCTGAGTTCCTGATATGTATAGAAAAACTATAATTTATGACGTATACATTTCATTTTTTTATTTAAACGAGCAAATATATTGAAATATTGCAAACAGTAGCCTCTACCATATCTATATACCACAATGAAATAAACTAAAGGTGAATCAAGCCTTAGCAAATAATTAAAAAAACTGACAATTCAAATAGGCAAATGTAGCAATGAACAAAGCAAATTTACACATGTGCATACATATGACAATATATAGAACATATAAATTCTTTATGTTTGATCCAAAGAAAATACGTTTTCTTCTCGAAGCATTTTGTTAAACTCCATAAAGAAGTAGAAAATTTTAAAGAAATTTTATGCTAATACATATATGTAGGTATGGCAAGAACTTAAGAAAAATTCTATTTTTTACTAGAGGAAATCATCACAAAATGTTTTTTTTTTTTTTTKTGTTACAAAACCACAGAATAAAGAATATTTCTTGCAAAGAATTATATGTCGTTTTGTCGGTTACGTAGAACAAATATAAAAATTTGAAGTATGAAACACAATTTGAATACGCCTTTTTCACATGATAACAGATAATTCAGTGCAATTAATTTTTATACATGTTAGTTCACCCAAAAATGTTTTTCTTTATCTTAAAATTTGCAAAATACAACCTTTCTACTAAACATGGTTAACCTCTCTTTTATTTCATCATTGGTATATATATACTTACATACATTGATAAATTTACAATGTAAATATAAAAAGCTTACGAATATAAAAATACATACAAGGATAGCCCAACAGAATTAACTCTAAAAAAATTGTAATGCCCACTTCGAAAGTCTCAAAGCTTTAAATATCAGTTTCGGTGGTCTCTCTGGATTCCGGAAACTGAACAAATTTCTGAAGAGTTACGCCATCTTTACTTCTCGATCTATTTTTAGTATGTCCAGTATGCACCGCTATTATTTCATCCGAATATGATCCTATTCTCTCGGAATAGTTGCTCTTTGAATTTGGTTTTCTAGGCTTGTTTTCATATAGGAATGATTGCTTTTGATTTGTATTAAATGCACTTTGCTGTAAGTCGGGTTCGATATCAACTGCTTGAGTGGAATGTCTGTGTACTTTTTCCGCTGAACCATTTTCTATGCTATCGAAGTTTCTCCGAAAATTGTAATTACCTGTTGTTAATACGCAACTTAAATGAAATTCCATGAACAAAAAATATATAGTTACCTGTAGGTCCAAATGCACTTTTAATAGCATTTCGGCTTTTTGTGTTCTTTCTTCGTAGACTATTTCGAAGTAATGGTGGGCGTAGCTTCTTACTATTACCTCCAAAACGTTTTGTATTTTTGACTTCTTTAAAATTGCCATAATGAACAGACAATATTGGCGAGCGATTACTGTCATCCGAACTTCTATTATCTACAATTAAATTTTCTTGCATCGTTTCAGATTCATTCATATCAACAGAATTCATATTTCCTATATTGCTTTCCGTATCAGAAAAATCAAATTTGTCTCCTAAGTGGTCAGAATCGAACTGTTCATCTTGGTCAATGATTTCAATCTAAAAGTAGAAATTGTTTTCCAATTTAGTCTTTTTATTTTTTGAAATTTACAAACCTCTTCTGTAACCGCTCCTCGAAGCATTATTACTGGCCCTCCTCCATAAATACCATAAAAGAAACGCCACAGAAGAGCATTCACCTGGGCATAGTCCGAGCCCGGCCGCACTTGTCGAATTGGTAACGTCTGAGCAGCATCTGTTAGGGCAATATTAGCATTAGAAATGGGTCCCGGTTCCTTATGAGTAATCCCGCGAGCAAATTGTTGCCATTTTCGCAGCCAAGGCATTGATATGGCATATATGGCGCCACAATCATGTTCGGTATCCATACCAGTGAATTTCGTGAACACACATAATTCATAAAGTTGGCGTCGTTTCAGAGATTCAGCTGCTCTTTTGCAAATTTCGCATTCAAACAACATGTTTATAGCAGGGCCGCCACCAAATGTACAATATAAAAAATCCCACAATGGCTGAGATATAGGTACTGCAATCTGATCTAACAAAGCCATTTTAGACTGTAGAAGGCCACCGTGTAAACACAGTATTGTCCAATTATTGATTGGTCCAGGTTCCGCAAATGTACTAAACCTTGAGAGCCATTCACGTGCAACATAAAATCGAATTTCTGCCGTGTGGACTGGATTCATCGCAGAAATTTCACTTGCCTTTGCTCTAACTAGATCCATTTGGGGATTATGCTTTCGATAAAATAGAACATATGCTTGACAGTTCTGAACAGTGCTAGCTTGTACTTCTGTGACGTGTTGATCATCATATTGGTACCAACGATCTGTAACAGGATTACGGGCAAAACATGTATAGTGACCACCGCCTACGGTACCATGATGACAAATTACAGAAACCAAATTGTACACTGTTACCACTGATTTACAATCTTTATGTAAATATGGTTTCATATCGAAACCTTCAAGAGGAAAATGAACAGGTGACGATATTTTCGAACTATAGGACAAATCATGACGGAATCGCTTCAAGTGAATGCACAGCACCTCCGGTAGTTCCAAAATTTGTGAATATTTAATTCCTGTTCTTAATTTATTGCACTTTTCACAACTGTGTAATAATAATTTTTGTCGATAAAAATATTATAATTAAATATTATCGAAAATAAATACCTATACATATTATCTCCTTTGAGTTCGTCTGCACTAAAAAAACTTGACATACAGTCATATAACGTTACAGAAGGGCCCCACAGCCATGATCGAAAAACTTTCCAGAACCAGGTGAACCATCCGTCTGTGTTATTAGGTGCCAAAGTGTCAATTGAATTAAGACTTTGAGCGCTTAAGCTATGGTTTTGATGGAGCATGTTCAAATAGTCTCGATTCGGAATGGGTAACGAAAGATCTTGAAACGTTTCTTCGCGAGTGGAAACGCGATCACAAGTGAGGCATTGTACAGATGAGAGTAATTTTCCATCAAATACATCACTTATAATTGAATGAACTTCTGCTTGAGGCTGCGATGAACTGTTGTGTGCTTTTCGCGTTCTTCGATTACGATCTGCGCTACTTGTATTTAGCTGTCCTTTTACTTGATTAGAATGCTGGGAAAGGCTGCTATCACACGTTTCATACTCAGAATCTGACAAGGAGCTTGACAGAGACACAGAGTCTGAATCTACTGGTTCTTCTGAGGTGTTCATCTCTATCATTGGAGTTTTGGTACACGACATTATTGGCAATGCATGACTATTTTCTTTTAATTCTTCATGTAATTGGTCCATAAAACAACGCAAAAACTCTTGGGTATCATGCTGCTGAAAGCCACGAAACATCGGATGAACACTTCGAATTCCATATAATATTCCACGAGGTGCAATGTAATCTAATTTTCAACAATATTGCATAAATAAACAGATTCAAATAATTTTAAATATTTACCTTTTCCAATCCCCTTTTTGCACCATATATCATGAATTAACCGCTGATAACTTTTTGCAAGTCCAACTTTATTCCGATTTAAACTTTGCTCAACTATGTGTTCAACCAGATCACTGCAGTTAAGGAAGTAATGTGTCATGGGTTGTACGTTACTGAGAGCTTGTAGCGCTGAGTTCATGTAACAGGTATTAGCGATGTTTTGAAGTCCGATTAGTCCGTTTGATGATGACGATATTTCCTCGGCGTTTTCGTCACTTTCATTTCCATCACTGCTATCTTTTTCATATTTTGGCGAAGCGACCGTTGACCTCATTGCTGTTATAAACGGATCCTCTATCAATGTTGGCTTCACGTCAATAAACACCTCTCGTTCACATAAATAGCACCACAAACGTTGTGATGACATATTCATGTGTAGACAATGGCAGTTATCCAGCTGAAAATGTTCAGTACTGTGATCATTGGCTTGTTCAGAGCATCCCACACGTAAACAATTTCTCTGAAGACAGATCCATAGATTCGGTCCGGAATATTCACACTCTGCACATGACTTTACCTACTCCAAAAAAAAAATATATATATTTTGGACCGTTAGTAGATAAAAAGACATTACGAAAAGCACCTAGTACTTGTGTACCTTTTCAAGCTTTTTAATTTCCAACACATGCTCATTGCCAATATGTGGGCACATCTTACTCCTTTTCTGTGCCATTGCAAAAATTAGTTGCCAATTCCCGCACAAAACATGAAATCAAAGCAAAATTCCAGCTTAATTTTGCAAATCTTCCTGCAATCAAGTGATAGTCTAAACACCACAAAGTTACCACATTTAAAAATTTTGTTATTATTACTAGATCATGAAAAAATAATATGGTGGTTACATGTTCCAAAGTTTCCTAGCGAAGACAGTTATTTTATAAGTGTCCTCCGCGTACGCATATGACAGAGTTTAATCAATTAATATAAAATGTCTGGTAGTTTAACATATATTATATATGTATATGTTTTTATGTAATATGAGTTATATATGGTATTGAACGGTATACAAGATTTACGGTAGGTAAGGAATTTTTACGGAAATGTGATAAATTAAATTAAAAACGAGCTATTGAGTTGGGCCAGTAAAATTTTGTTTTTGAACAAGAAATAAGGAAATATCTACACTGTGGAGACTTTACAAAATAATTCTGATGGTGTGGCAGCATTTAAAAAAATGCATTTGCTACAGCCAGAGCCCGTCGCATACAGATATTGGATCAAAAAAAGAATTGAAGAATTATTTCTATAAGTGTTTTAATAAATTAACTTCATAGAAGTGTGTGCATGGAGTGTGCATCTGAGGTGTGCTTGGAGATTCGGAGTTTTGTTATTAAAAGGACGTAGAGAATTTAATTTAATTAAAATGTGTTTAATTTGATTGGAACCAAAGAAGAATATAGAGGTTTCCACTTCTCTAAAACAGAATGAGGCAGATTCTCTCTGGGAAATATCTCCAAAGAAATATTTCGCTTGATTAGAACAAACGTCAAATTATTAAGGAAATCCTTTTAGTTATGACTAAAAGTTCTATATAATCGAGACGAAAATACATTTTTAATCGGAGAAAAGTTTTTAGAATTAACTGCCTATTCAATATAACAACCATATCACCAAAGTATATTCGTGAATTCGGGCATGCACTCTGATGAGAATATGGCTTTCGGTGCATCGGCAACACAAATACAATCTATATCCGGTTGTAGCGGTGGATCTTACGATGGAAAAATAGCTGGATTATATGATTTAGAAGAAACTCTAGGATCGGGACATTTTGCTGTAGTGAAATTGGCCCGACATGTATTTACTGGTGCTAAGGTAGCAGTGAAAGTAGTAGATAAGACTAAATTAGATGAAATATCCAAAGCCCATTTATTTCAAGAAGTAAGGTAAGATATACGAAAAACAAAAGAAAATAACCCATAGTAAGGGCCATTAATAAAATGCTTATTTTGTTTAGATGTATGAAATTGGTACAACATCCGAATGTGGTGCGTCTCTATGAGGTTATTGACACGCCAACTAAACTCTATTTAGTTTTGGAGTTGGGTGACGGTGGCGATCTTTATGATTATATAATGAAACATGAGGGGGGTCTTAGTGAAGAGTTCGCCAGAAAATATTTTAAACAAATTTTACGAGCTATCACTTATTGTCATCAGCTGCATGTTGTTCACAGGTGGGTAAAGAATTTTGTATTTAATATGATGGATTTTGCAATATATGCAAATCATAATTAACATAAAAGTTTAAAGTTATTTGCGAATAATTGACTATTATGTGCATGAATGAATGAGAGATTAAGATAGAGTACATTTTTTTATGCACTTTTATTTAATTTTTTTTTTTGTTTGATATTTTAAATTTCAGAGACCTGAAACCAGAAAATGTTGTGTTTTTTGAAAAAATTGGTGTCGTTAAATTAACAGACTTTGGATTTAGCAACAAATTTTCTCCTGGTCAAAAGTTAGAAACATTTTGCGGCAGTTTGGCGTATTCTGCACCGGAAATTCTTTTAGGAGACTCTTATGATGCGCCAGCTGTTGGTGAGCATTAAAATATTGTAATATAAAATTCGTAAATTGACAAATCTGAGATTTCTTACAGATATATGGTCCTTGGGAGTAATACTTTATATGCTTGTTTGTGGTCAGCCACCTTTTGAAAAAGCGAATGATTCAGAAACTTTAACCATGATTATGGATTGTAAATATACTGTCCCACCACAGGTGTCTCAACATTGTAAACAGTTAATTAGTTCAATGTTGGTTCGTGACCCAAAAAAACGCGCTACCCTTGAACAGATTGCAGCACATCCTTGGTTAAGTGAAATACCCGATTTTGATGCAACCGATAGTTTGCCATTGATAAGCAGGCAAGAACTTAGTGATGAAGACCACGCTTTCATAATACAAAAAATGATTAACGGAAACATAGCTCCTAAAGAGGAAATTTTGCAGTGAGTATTAATCGTCTTACATGCTATTGTACTTAAATAATGGAAAAAATCTATAGGGCGCTGGACAAAAATCAATATAATCACATCACAGCAACATATTTCCTTTTGGCAGAATTGAGGCTACGTAAACGTCGCGAAGAGCAATTACCGAAAAAGCATACATCTCTCTTTTTACCAGAAGCTGTTACGAAGTACATCAAATAAATTTATAATTATATCGACGTATGAACTCATTTAAAAAATTTTAGGGCTAACGTTACAGATTCAAAGCGTGAGAAACAACCAGACAAAAAAATAAATTCTTTGGACTCAAATAAAATAGTAATGCCGATAAATATGGTGGCGCGAAATGCAGCAGAAACTAAAACCGTTAGTTTACGAAATACGCTTTTGTAAACTGAAACCTTATTAAAGTTACATGTTTTTTCTATTAATTCAGGATAAAAGAAGTAGAAAGTGTAGCATTGTCCGAGAAGAGGACGAAGACGAGTCTGGCTATGAAAATACGAATGATGGTAATGAATTACGTGTGGCCATTACACGACGAGAATCAATATCTGATGGTCGTTTGAATTGTGTGGTTCAAGAACGGACGAAATCCAATTCTATGATGCAAGTTGATGATCGTCCAAAAATGACTGCATCAGTAGACGCTACTTTAGTACATAAGCTTAACCAAATAGAAAATCACGTCGCATGTGATACAGACGTGAAGAGGAGCGCTTCAAATTTTAGAACAGCTAGACCACCCGTAATGGAAGATGCTTTAAGAGGAATGAAAGACCTTGAAATAGGCAAATTAAATTCCTTATCTATGAGTAACAAAAACCCAGTACTAACACATCGTCGTAGCAAACTAAGCAAAATTCGAACACCCTCATGTAGTAGCTCGGAAGCATCGGATGATGATACTAAAGCACGTAGCAAGAAAAAGATGAACAAATTCGTTGGAGACACTCCAACGAGATTTCGCATGCACCGACGTGATTCCCACGATGATTCAAGTGATTCACAAGATCAATCATGCCCTCCCTCTGGATCCCAAATACCATCAACACAAATGGTTACCGGCAGTAATACAAATGTAAGCGGAAAAAAGGATAATCAAAAACCTAGCAAAGAGGTAAGAAAAAGTTATTTATGATAAACGAATTATGTATGTATGTATACATTTTTGTTTCCTTATATTTCGTTAACTATTAATATTAATTATAATTTTTTAAATTTAGCATAATAAAACAGATGAAAAGCGAAAGGACAGTAACTCGCACACAGAACGACAAAAGAAAACTCCGAAAGACGAGAAAAACAAACATAACTGTTCCCTTGAATCAAAATCAGAACAGTTTATGATCGGAACAGGTCGCCGTCGTGTTCGAGAGAGCCAATCATTGGATCGTATAACCGAGGCACAGGAATACGAATTTCGTCAAAAATGTCTCACATCTGACATTCAAACCGATATTAGGAATTCTCTTTTTAATGTTAACTCATACACTGTTGCAGAAACTAAGGAAGAGTATGAAGATGATATAATTTCCATTGATTCACAAAAAATTAAGAGCAATTCCATTTTCCTCGAAAAAAATTCAATGCGCATACGTGAAAGCATATGTAAATTGAACTCAATAGAAGATATTATTCTCGAAGATAGTAAGATATCAAAAGCAATTCAACTTACTGGCTCAAAATGTTTTGTTACTATGAAAAAAATTCGTAAGCTAGGTAAATATTTTCCAGTAGTAAACTTTTCTTAATACGACAGGAGTCAAATGATACAACCACTCATAAGAGGCAGAATGAATGAAAAATATAACTAGATATTTTAATTAAATTAATTTAAACTTAAAAGTATAATCTAATATTCAATGCAATATTCTATTATTAGTAATAATAAATAAATCGCAACAAAGTCACATGCATTACGCACGTTCTCAACGTAATAAATATTTTTAATATACGTGTTTTCGAATTGAGCGAACAATTTGTAGGCTACCAACCATAGCATAAATCATTTATATATGTATATGTATATATACAACTGTATTCGAAATAATAGCATTGGTTTGTGAATAATATGTAGCAGTGGCTTGAAGAGCACCTGCATTGGTCAGTCGAAAAATGGCCAACATATTGTGGTCCGATGAAACAAAAAATATTTTATTAGATTCCCGCGGACACCGACAGTATGTATGAAACATGGATGCGAAATTGTACGTTGATATAATGAAGTCGACTATGGAACCACACGCTGAATGGAAAATGCCGTTGAAATGGGTCTATCAACAAAATAACGACCCCAAACATACTAGCAGGTTGGCAAAAAATTGGTTTGCTCTAAATGGAGTTGAGGTTATGGGTTGGCCGGCTCAGTCACTGGACCTTAATCCAAATGAGAATCTTTGGGCAGAGGTCAAAGAAGCTGTAGGGAAAGAGAATCCGTCAAATACGAAGCAATTATGGAGTGCTGTGAAGAAGGCGTGGAAGATGCGCAGCTGTGTTATTCAACAATGATCTTTCGACGAAATACTACTTGTTTAAACTTTATTTTATATTTTTTTAATGAATTAATTGATTTTTGATGTAAAATCCTCAATACTCCTATTATTAATCACAGCTGAAATTTTCATTTACAAACTTTTTTATTTATTTAAAAAAGAACTTTATCTTATTCTTTAAAGAAATCATATTTCTTTTAAGCTTGAATATGAGCGAGTTAAATGCAATAATAATAACTCATAATAAAAATCTATTACACGATTTTTGTGTTTCATTTGAATTCTGGGTTATGACACTGCTATTATTTCGAACACAGTTGT